AAAAAAGAATGTGGGCTTGTATGTGTGCTTTATTCTGATGATGGCAGTGGAATTCAGTGCCTCATGTGAGTTGCGCTCTGAATGTTAAAGCTTCTGATACAGACACTGGTGAGAGCAGTGGTCTGGGTGACTCGATGTATTCTTGGGCCCCTGTCCAGCTCATATGATTATGGGTGATAGCAATAACAGAATGCACTGAGACCCAGAAATTCATGTTGGTGTTGCTGGTAACTGTGATGGGTTGGGTAGGATAGTTATCTGGCTTTCTGGTAACATGAATGGATGGGTGTCATCTATGGCAATATCAGTAGGTTGGGTCAGTCTGACTTCAGACCCTGGCAGGAGTGACCAGGTGCCATTGGTGATGGACTGAGCCAGGATATTTCTGGGCTCCTGGATAATATACTACAGCTCTGGGTCTGGGGATGGGTTTGGATAAACAGCTTTCTTCTCAGGGCCCTGGTAGGGTCTTTGCACACTGGGTATGACAGACAGGCATTACTGGAGGAATGCTCTAGTGTGGGATATTGTTGGTGTGTTGTAAGCCTACCACCAGGGAGAGTGGGGCCCTCTCAGGTGGAACTGCATGGGTAAGAAGCTAAAGAAGGTGTGGAGAGTTCAGACTCTTTATGCCCTAGTCTCACAGTAGCCCAAAGCAGAATGGTAGGAATTGTCTTAGATTTGTCTAATAGTCTAGTGTCACCTGTCCTTTCTTGGCCACATGTTAGCTGCAATCATGTCTGTTTGAACTCAGCCCCAGTGTGGAGTACATCCCAACCTTAAACTCTCAAGATAGTGCCATGAGCCCATGACCATAAAGGGCAGGGTTTCTCTCTGCCGAGTTGCTTAAGTAAGAAGTTGTGAGGAGTGCAGACTTCTCACACCCTGCCTTGTCCTACAGCATGCAATGTGGTAAGGATCATCCTAGTGACCTTTGGGACTGTCCCTTCTCTCCTCTCTCTTTTTGGCCCAGTGGCAGTAGCCATTTCAGTCTGGCCTTTGGGCAGGAGTATATCCCAGCATGTACACTCTTAGAATGGTTCCAAGCTGTAGTTGCTTTGGATTTATGTCTGTGGGATTCTAGGTGTGTTCCCTTTCTGGAGCAAGCTTTCTGTGCAATATCTAGGTATCTCCCTATGTTAGGCCTGAGTCTTTTACGGATCAAGTGTGTCTCCTATGGTCAATATTACAAAAACCTGTTGCAGAAGGGTGGAACCCTGGGGATTTCTCTTTTACTCTTTTTCCCTATTTAGGAACTTCTCTTGGTCCCTGGCTGGGTAACCTAACTTAAGTCCTTTTCTTAAGTGCTTTCAGTTATACTTACCACTTGTCTTTTCAACCCCAGCATTTTCTCTTAGATAATGTGTTGAAAGTGTAATATCAATTACTATTAGGATTTCTTTCCGTGGAAGAGGTACATACTAGCAACATCTAATCAGCTACTTTGATCCTCTCCCTCAGAGAGGGAGTAGTGAATACAATAAATTATATTCTCTTTTTAAAATTCAACTTATTCATAAATGAAATTATTGTTTATATGAAAATATTTCTACTGAAATTTTATCTCTTCCAAAGAGCTGATAATTTTTGAGGGACACCTAAATGAAGAGATTTCAGGCAGAGTTATCCATATGTTAAGACTGTATGAATTAGGGTATTCACTTAGTAAAAACAAATACAACCACATTGTTTTTGTGACACTGCTCATCAAACTCTGGACAACTCTCCCCTATGAATTACAGGTAAATATTCTGTTGATTACATTGAGCAAATATATGATTTCTCATTGTTAAAAAAAATGAGACAACATATGAAAATACATTTTTTTTTTTTTGAGACGGAGTTTCACTCATGTTACCCAGGCTGGAGTGCAATGGCGCGATCTTGGCTCACCGCAACCTCCGCCTCCTGGGTTCAGGCAATTCTCCTGCCTCAGCCTCCTGAGTAGCTGGGATTGCAGGCACGAACCACCATGCCCAGCTGATTTTTTGTATTTTTAGTAGAGACGGGGTTTCACCATGTTGAGCAGGATGGTCTCGATCTCTTGACCTCGTGATCCACCCGCCTTGGCCTCCCAAAGTGCTGGGATTACAGGCTTGAGCCACCGCGCCCGGCCAAAAATACATTTTTAAAGCCATAAGACTACTTTTTGTTTTCAATAATTTCTTGAAGTCATTGTAGAGACCAGTCACAATTTTGTGGAAAAATTTCTTAAATCCTCTTAGGAACTTGAATGAACATAAATAAAATGAAATAAAAATAAAATTGGATAAAATGAAATAAATTGAAATAAAAATAAAATATAAAATAAATTGAAGAAGAATATGCATTATACTTCCCTTATCTCCCCTTTTACTCTCTCAATCTCTTGAACTTTTTTGCTACAAATCAGCTAAAGACTGTTTTCTTAAAATCTAGTTTTACAATTTCCTTCAAAGAGCATTCTTATCTTCAATACACAATTCACCAGTAAATATATTTATACATACGTATACACCTTGGGCACAGTTGGCATTTAGAACTATTTTCTATGTTTACTTTGACTCATCTGTGTTGTCTTTTATAATCTTCCACTTCTTTCTGTGTAGCAAGAAGCAGAAGGTGATACAAGGTTTATTTTTCTTCCTTTTAGCTTGAAAGATTTACCTTTCTTCATAAAAATTATCCATTTCTTACTAATCTCCCCACACCATCATAGAATTTTATTTTCATCTTTGAAACATTTCCCACGTACCATGTGTTGAATTAGGGCAGGAAACAAATAACTCTTCTATTTACTACTAAGGATATCTCTCTCTAATTTTCATGCTAATCTTATTAAAAGGGTTCTATTACTGTTCCCAGTTTACAAATGAAGAAACTGTGCCTCAGACAAGCTAAATATCTTAAAGGTTGTCCCTCAGTGAAACTTGGATAAGGTGAAACCACATGCATTTATGTTGTAGCATTAACTATTATTCTCTTGCTTTTCATACATATTTTGCCCTTGATTTTAATTCATAAAATTTGGCTCATCTATACAGTATAATAATATGCATATGTAAAAAGTTTATAAATATTAATTACTCGAAGAGAATCAACTATGATATTAGCTGTATCTGGGTATTACTATTTCCTTTATTAAGTTAATATTGATAGACATATCATCAATTACCTCTTGACCGTAGTTACAAATTTATTTTTAATTGACCAAATATAAAATAAAATAATAAATTTATGTGGTTCACTAAGACAAAAGGGTTATAAAAGAGGATGCTTTTAAACCAGGCAGGGTGGCTCACACCTGTAATCCCAGCTACTTGAGGCTGATGCAACAGAACCATTTGAACCTGGGAGGAGGTTTCAATGAGCTAAAATCACACCACTGCACTCCAGCCTGGTGACAGAGAAAGACTCCAAACAAACAAACAAACAAAAAGCATGCTTTTAAAAGACACATCACAATCCTCAGAGAAGGCCAGACTTTTGTTGCTGCTACTTAGGCAAAGTCAAGGTTACTAAAAATATGAAAAAAATGCAACTAAAGAGGCACTAAAGAAAAAGAAAATCCGGTTCATGCCTGAAAGTGTAGCAGGAGTGACCACAGGAATCAGATCTCCCAAACATCGAATGCAGGAGGATCACCAAATACAGGAGGAAAGAGTTTATTCGGCCAGGAGTCTGAGTATAATTTGTCCAAAGATCAGCTCATCTAACACAGGAAGTTTCCACCTTTATATAGACTTATACTTGAGATATTACACGTGGAAGAATCTTAGGTTTATAGCTTTAGAAATCACATATGAAAAGGGTCTCAGTTTTCAGCTGCAGGAGCCACATATGAAAGGGTTTCAGTTCATAGTTTTAGGACTCACGTATGAAAAACTCCCTGTTTACAATTTCAGAAATCACATATGAAAGGGTTTGGGTTTACAGGTTTAGGACTCACATGTGAAAAGGTTTCTGGTTTTATCTTGTTTTAAGTAAAAACAGTGCCTTCTGGAAAGTTTCCTCAAGACCAAGCCTGCCACCTACAGGAAGGTGAAACAGGAGATGCCAGTCGGTCAGCCTTTTCTTCTTCTTCCTTTTTTTTTTTTTTTTTTTTTTGAGACGGAGTTTCGCTCTTGTTACCCAGGCTGAAGTGCAATGGCGCGATCTTGGCTCACCGCAATCTCCGCCTCCCAGGTTCAAGCAATTCTCCTGCCCCAGCCTCCTGAGTAGCTGGAATTATAGGCACGCACCACCATGCTTGGCTAACAGTGTGATAGTCAAAGGGGAAGTTGATCTCAGATGCCTGGGTCTCCCTCTTCAAAAGAAAGCAGAAATGGGCTAGAAGTACACGGACAAAGAAGGGCCATCATACTTAAAAAGGCTGATATGCCATATAGGATGAGGTAGCCAGGGCAATATGCTTTCTGATAGGTATTCTTAAGTATTTAAATATATTTTTATGTGTGCTGTCCAATGTGTAAAATACCTTTTGTCCTTCCTGTTGAATCGTGCATAAAAATTTTGCTACTATGATAAGCTTGAATGTTGGTTGTTTGGAATAGCAAATAGTTGCAGATCACTCTGGAGAGATTTTGAACAGAGTGGTGACAATAGAGTAGCTACGGGGAACAAAACACATATCTTAAGGAAAACAGAAAACAGAGCTGTAGTGATTTTAAAATTTTAATTGATCACAGGCAATGATATAAGACTGTCTTAAACATAAGTCTGAATGTTTTGGCATGTGTAAGCTACTAATTTGCTAACTTAAAAACAGTGCAATGAAGCTCCTTTTGCCTGTTAACATATTATTGCCCATAATGAAAGACTATATGGACTAATCACAATATGCTACCTTACATTTAGCCATGGTTGCAAAAAAATTATGATGATACAGAAATTTTCAGTCATACTCAACAAATTTTTTCTTCACAAATCTGATTGGTTATTGTGGATACCCTGAATGATATAAATTGAGTTCATAGTTAAAGAAAATCTAGAGGATCAAGCCTTCCTGTGTTGCACAAAGAAAGTTTCTCTGAATATATTGAAAGGTATGTGGATTTTACACATTATTTTGTATCATTTTTATTCTGCTTACTTGTTTTCTGTAATTCCTATTCTTAGAGGCAAATATATTCCATATTTCTAATACTTTATGATGTAAGAATTAGTTACTTCTGTTGGTTCATAATTAAATTTGACTGTAATTATATAACTATTTTTTCACTTTATAATGCATGAAAGTATTTGTATATATGTGTATTTAGATTTTAATTTTAGAACCCAAAAGGAGTTCCTGGAAGCCAAACTCACAACAAATTTTTATTTTAATTACTTGTAAATTAAATTGAAATAATAGTTTATGGCTGTGTTTATTACTTTGAACAGATTTTTGTGTTAAATATATCAAATAATATCTTATTTATTACTGATACCATCAACTAAAACTTTATCTCTTTTTAAAAATTCAACTTTAATAACATATTTAGAATAGAATGACATCAATGTTGTTGTCATATCAGCATTTCCACATATTATATTCACTATCTTTAACAAAATTAATGTCATTTACTTAAAAAATTTTAAAGTTAGTGAATAATTTGAGCTATGAGGTATTGCGCATATCTTGACATAGCATTTAATTCATATCTCACATCTCTAATTTGTAGAGTAATTAAATTAGAACGCATGTCAAAAGGAAGATACTATTAAATAAAGATAAAATCTTTGAGATAGAAATTATCCAAAATTTATTGAAGAATCAATAAATTCACAGATTATTGTTTTCTTTGCCTTTCCATTTAGCCTCATATTTTGCCATGCAGACCCTCTGACCTCAGACATTTTGCTTCCCTGAAGTTCTATAAGGTTGGAACATTTAGAACTAAATTCCTGTCACTTCTTAATCTGTTTTGGCAAATAACTTAGATTTTTTTTTTCCTCAAATAATCAGTCTTTGATTTTAACAATATCAATACTTAGGTGGATAATACAAAAAATATTTCTCAGCTTCTCATTTTAAGGTGATGAAATGCTATGTAGTAATAGGTAAATACATTGATGAGCTCTTGAATCTTAAGAACCAAACTTGTTCCTTCAATTATTAATTAAAAATTACCGTTAGTTTATATGGCTTTAGGGGATCCTACAGACAGACAGGAAGGACATGATTTATTTTCCTAAACTTCTTCAGTTCACATCCTAAAAGAAAAATGATTTTATGTTAACTACTGTGACTCCAAAACAATAAAATGGACTGAGAACTTGAAATCAAATATGAACAAATTAACCTTGCAAAAAATAATCTCAACCTATTTGCTACCCTCAGACAAATGCAGATCACATTTTTTAAGGCACCTTTATGATGTACATGTTTGAGAGGAGATGAGAAAAGCAGTTGTTGACTTTCATTTCAGAACCATTAAGAAATGGGGACCTGGATTTTGTTTGCCTGCCTTGTGGGAGCAGCTTTTGCCATGCCTGTGAGTAAAATATTATTTGCATAAGTTGGTGTCCAATTTACAAACTTGGAAATAAGAATCTATCCACACTTGGGAAACTTTAGGGCTTAAAGCAATTTAAGCTCAGATGACCCAAAACATCTATGTGTTCAAGAAACATTGTAGGAGCAAAAAAAAAATAGATTATCTCTTCCTATCTTATTTTGGTTATCATGTCTTTCATGCTTATTCACATCTTTGCAAATGAAAGGATTTCCTCCCCTTTTAAGGCTGAATAGTTCTATTGATTAGCCTCATTTAGTCTTTCCACATTGTAAGCATATATTAAAACATCACATTGTACACTAGGAATGTATATAACTATTATGTACCCACAAAAATTACAAAACAAATCAATTAATTAAATAAATAAAATAGCTTTTTAGAAGCTCCCACTAGAGGCTCTGATTTGGTACAGCTGGGGTTGGGCCCATAACTCTGAAGTTTTACAAGCACCCAGGAGTTTCTGTTGACACCATTAGGTTGTAGTAATACAACCCATTTATAGATAGAGGAAGCTTTTGAAAGAGATCTTTGAAATGTCTCCAGAGAAAGTGCTTATTTAGCCTTGTAAAAATCTAACAAAAATGCCAGTTTGGCCTAAAACCCTATTTCTCTCAAATTTCCAGATCTCTTCTTGCCCTCCACATATTACAGCTGTTACCCCTCAGAGAGTAAGATTTCTGTGTTAGGAACCCACTTCTAGGAATATCTTCCTGTTATCTGAAGCCCCACCCTTTTGGTATGTGTCTTTCTTGTGGTTGCCCAGGATCCTGCCTACACACAATACATAGTGATATATTTTGTATTTAAATTTATTAAAGAATGGCGTGTCAGACCCACTCTGAATGGACACAGGTGCATAAGGGCAGATAACTTAAATTACATGCATGCCAAGCAGGCTGCATCTACTTTTTGGTGGCATAAATAGCAGCTGATACAACCAGAAGCCAGCAAGCTTCACACCTACCTCCTCTCTTCCTGTCTCAGCCACAGAATCAAGATTCTGTGCTCTGACTTCCTGCATTGTGGCAATCCCTAGTCTCCTGAGGAGTCCCAGCATTACAAATTCACCCCTTTTCCCACTCTCTAAGATGGTATTGATAAGATGGTTTACGATCTGACTAAAACTATTCATATCCAGATGAGAATGAATAAACCCTCCTATGAAATGTAAGAATTTTTAAAGAATGTAATATAACCAATCCTAAATGAAGTTAATGTCTGAGGGATATTTTTTTCATGATGTCTATCTTCTCCCTCACCTGGACCCCAGGCACAACCAGAGTTCCACAATGCAAGTACCAAACACTTGGCCCCGACTTTTGAGAGGATATACAGTCCTAATTCAAGTCATCACTCAGATGGCCTTTTATTTTTAACTTAAATTTTTTTCTGCCATATAAACATTGAGAGAATAATAAAAAAAAATTGGCCTAAACATCATAAATCAACTTTCATTTCCATGGGATTTATACTTTTCTATTTTGTTCTACCCATCTTGTCCTGGCATTTATTAATTTCCACCTTGTGGTTGCTTCTGTGACTTCTTTTGTTGTATGGATGTGTTGTTTACATTGCTTCCAATTTTGAAGAAACGCATTTATACTTAAAGTACTTGATCACCTCCAGGCTACAGGGGAACGTCTGTGACACACTTCTTTGCTTGTTGATATTTCTATATTGTGTAAGAGAAACATACTTCTCTCCCCACCATGGGGAGAGATCAGTTTGATCAGCAAGTAAACTCTTGGACAGGATAGGGTAAGATTCATTGACAACACTGGGGATGGGGGAAGGACACCATCTAATCACTGGAGAATAAATGTGTCCTGGTTTCTGCTTCCAGGTCTCCAAACATAAGACTATAACGCCAGGGAGAGTCATTTAGCTGTTCTGGGCCTCTTTAAACTCAGAGGTCTCCTCTTCTACATGGTACATTTGTCCAAACTAAAAACAGATCACAAATATATTCTGCACTATATAGATTTTTAAAAAGTAGCTTCAGTCTCCTTTAATGTGAACAATTGCATATTGACTTAATATCTTCCTCTCTCTTCCCTTCCTTCACTCTCTCCCTTCCTCTCTCTTTCGATTCTCCTCTCCTCCTCCCTATAAAAGCTACCACCTCATCCTGGGCACCCTGGTTATATCAACTTCAGCTATGAGGTAATTTTTCTCTTTTCTAATTTTGATCACTTTTTGCATGAACAGTGCCCTGGGCTCTCTAAAGAATAGTGGGTTGATTCTTCATCCCAAATAAAGTGGTTTCTCAAGTGGTCTTGATTTTATAGCTTCTACCATCAGCTTCCCAGTTTAAGTGCTGATAGTGGGCCTCAAGCCTCTGTTGTCCCAGCACCCTCCTGCCTGGCCACTCTAACTCAGTCTCTCTTCCTAAATATGGTCATAGGCTTACTCATCATGAACGATTGCTCAGGAATGCTTCATGATAGGGCAAAAAATCAACCTTGACTGACCAGCTTGGTTCTATCCCAGGTGGTAAAATGTAAGGATTAGGTTTGTTGTTATTTAGGATTCTTTCCAGATCAAAAAATTCTTAATGTTAAGACAGTCATACTTTATATGTATCTCTCATTTGGTGCTATTGAAATATTAGTCACCGAGTGATATATGAGAGACGCAGAACAATGGAATGCGTCAGTTTTGGAAGTCATGATTTGAAGTTCTCCTCAATCTCTTACTATATGACTTTGGGGAAATCATTTCCTCTCTTTGGAACCCTGGTTTCCACATCTGGAGAAGGGAAATTACCATAATAATCACATTTCAAAATGTTGTTTGGAGAGTAATATAGATAACAAATATAAAAACTGCTTTGTCAAATATAATATGAACAAGGTTACTAATTATTAAACACTGTATTACTATATAAAGAATCCTCAAACCTGAGGTTAACCAAGTGTATACTGTTCAGAAAGGAATAAAATTTTACTTCTCTCACAAGTTCAGGTAACAATCTGTGAATTTATTTACTTATATAAGCTGAAGAAAAATGTTAGTAAAAATTCGAGGCAAAGTTTTCTATTAAACCTAAAAGACTGACAAATTTGATCAGTAAATCTGCATTTTTAGGATGAGGGACTGTATTTCCACCTCTCTTTTCCCCATTGCGACATCAAAGGACAAACGAAATTAACATTATGTCATATTATGCCATAATTTTATGTTTGCTTTGCTCTTAATGAAAAATGGGAGCTATAGAATTAAACAGATTTACTTCCTTTGTACCCTCAGTCAAGTTAATGAACCTCTTTAATTCCCCAATACCTTACCTAAAAAGTGAGAGTAATAATATTTGCCTCAATAATACTTGCCTCCTAGCATATGAAAAAAACATGAAAAATATGTGTGATGAATGTAAACACAGTGCCTGACACACAGGAAGCACCCAACAAATGTTTACCTTCTTTCTTTTATAGAACTTATATTCTCAGGCTATCAATATTGGTAGGATTGTATATAGTGCATCTGTATTTCATACTGCATCAGTGAGTTTCTGCATTGGATGAAAGTTAATTAAATCAAATGCATTCTAATATTTCTTTCTCTTAAGGTGCTCACGCCTTTGAAGTGGTACCAGAGCATGATAAGGCCACCAGTACGTAGATATTTTGTTCTTTATTCCATGAATATAATAGGCATGCATTTAAATTCCCATTTTAAGAAAATATCATATGTACTCCACATACAGACACTAATGGGAAATTTAGTTTGTAAAAACTCCTATCATTTTACATGGTTACCTATTGGAAAGGTAAAATGAATAAAATATTCCTATGAACATAGTGGCAAAGAAAACACTGCTGATTCTCTGGCTGCAGTCACCTAAGCCAATGGTAAACCTGCCTCTCTGTTTCTCACCAGTATCCTTCCTATGGTTACGAGCCCATGGGTGGATGGCTGCACCACCAACTCATCCCTGTGCTGTCCCAACAGCACCCCCCGACTCACACCCTGCAGCCTCATCACCACATCCCAGTGGTGCCAGCTCAGCAGCCTCTGGTCCCCCAGCAACCAATGATGCCCGTTCCTGGCCAACACTCCATGATTCCAACCCATCACCACCAGCCAAATTTCCCTCCGCCCGCCCAGCAGCCCTTCCAGCCCCAGACTGTTCAGCCACAGCCTCACCAGCCCATGCAGCCCCAGCCACCTGTGCACCCCATGCAGCCCCTGCCGCCACAGCCACCTCTGCCTCCGATGTTCCCCATGCAGCCCCTGCCTCCCATGCTTCCTGATCTGCCTCTGGAAGCTTGGCCATCAACAGACAAGACCAAGCGGGAAGAAGTGGTGAGTATATCTTGAAGCTACTACAGTGCAAGTCCTGTGAAAAGGGTACAGCAAAATTGGCCCCAGAGTTCCAAGGTCTCCAAACAACCAAGGTTCTAGAGTTGCAGTAGTTTACAGGTATATGAGTATATTAGTCCAAGCAATATGCTATACCTTTATACTAAAAACAAATACATCTTTCATCTAAATGGCTTGGTAATTAAGATCACAGTTTTTATGGCAGGTTTCAATTGTACCATTACTGAATTTCTACCAGAATATATATATTACCAAAACCCATTTATAGAAATATATATTACTAAATCCTATTAAGTTTAAGGACAGCAGTATAAGAGACTATCAATTCTCCTTATATTTCAAAGGTTTGACTAACAAGAATAGGCTAAAGTTGCACTGAAGGCTTAAGAAAAGAGGCAGCGGGTAATTTTGAGAGTGCAAATATCTGAACAGACTACAAAAGGTACATGGGAAATCTCTTCAAAAACATACAGAAAGATTTCCTGTTTTCAATAGTTTTCAGTCTAACTTGGAGGAGGTTAAGCTAAACATGTTGTTGGAGTCCTTTTTGGTGCTCGGATTCTGTAGATAATTAAGCTTTTAATAAAAAGTTACTCTAGTTTAGCTCTGAATCTTCCATAATGAGAAGCACTTACAAATGAATGGGAATAGTCAATAAAACAAACTTTATTCACATCCCTAAAGTCTTACTTCTACGTATATGAGACCATGTGATTATATTACATATATGTATCCAACTATAATTCCAATTTATACAAGCTATTGTTGACTTAGTACCGAGAACCAGAGAGAAGTGACATGTAAATGGCCAAGTTACAAAGCAAGGACAGCTACGTTCCACTTCTGGCTCTGCCCTCAAACAGGGGGCAGTACTGCAAGTTACTCAGATGAATGAGTGTTTTCTTTTCTTTTAAATGGGTGAACATGACAAAATCAGATCATTTTCAAGCCTCTCTCCAAGTATAAATACATAAATAGTTTCTGAATAAAAATATCATAATAAATGTCATATGACTTCAAATTGTGAGCATGTTTACAGAGAATAGCTGGGCAGTATAGCTCACACCTGTAATCTCCGTACTTTGAGAAGCCCAGAGGGGTAGATTACCTGAGGTCAGGAATTTCAGCCTGGCCAACACAGTAAAACCACATCTCTACTAAAAATACACACATACACAAACACAAGCTAGCTGGGCATAGTGGCAGATGCCTGTAATCCCAACTACTAGGGAGACTGAGGCAGACGAATTGCTTGAACCTGGTAGGTACAGGTTGTATTGAGTCAAGCCTGTGCCACCATTGTGTACCAGCCTGGGTAACAAGAGTAAAACTCGAAAGAAATAAAAGGAAGAAAAAAAGGAATGAAGGAGAAAAGGAAGAAGGAAGGAAGGAAGGAAGGAAGGGAGGGAGGGAGGAAGGAAGGAAGGAAGGAAAGGAAGAGAAAGTAGAATGAATCACAAATAATTTGGTGCCTATATCATTGGCTATTCTAGTCTAAAGCCTTTCTCCCTGTGCATAGAAAATGCATTCATTTATCTCTTTATTAATAATTAAAACCATTGTATTTATAATGTGCCAACATCATGATCTTTATAATGTGCTTACACCTTAACAAAGCTATTATGGAAAGGTGACTTTTGGCAGATAGTTTGAAGTCTTTACAACTCAGTTTTATTTTGTGTAAAATTTGAGTATAAATATTGGTAGTTTCTTAAGGGTTTTTTTTATGGAAAATAAAATAGCGTGATGAGCTTGGAAGCTGGCATGTAAGAAATACTCAAAGATAGCCATTGTTATTTTATTATAATAGTTTTTAAGTGTCCTGAAAGTAGAAGCAGGCTTCATAGACACATAATATCTAATCACAATGAAGGAACAAAGAAACTTTGGAAATTGTAGAGTTCAACTTAAATGGTTGTATATTATTCTGATGAAACTGAAGGCATACATATTATTGTACATGGTACTCACTAAGAATATTTGTAAATGATTTTAATTTTTCCTTTTGCCATTTCTTTTCAGGATTAAAAGATCAGAATATGAGAGGGGAACTGAAGTAAACACTTCAGTTGCTTTTACTAATGACACAAGCACACAATGATTTTTGCTTAATCACTTTACTTAGCAAATTCTGTAACTAAAAAAAGTATCATTAGCAGACAATAAAATGTTTTACAGATCATTCCTGTGTTTGTGTTGAATGATACTTAAATTTTCCTATCACCTGAGACAATATATTATGAACGAGTATTCTTTAATAAGGTAGGAACTGCTCATTTACTCATACAAATTCACCATTTGGCACATCCCTATTATAGTCTCTTTTAATAGGGACTATAAAAAGAAAAATAGCCTCTATTTCCCTATTGCTGTGGGAATAGGGAAATAGGGGCTATAATTCTTTTTAAAGAAAATTTAAATTATACTGTCTCAAATTTTTAAAAAATGAAGTTTATACATCAGTTAAAATAGATGATTAAATGAAAATTTATGAACACATACAATCACTGAAACCTGAACAAAGTAAAGGGAAGGTTATATGAAAAATATTTGTATTTGAAAAGATAAGCTTTTGAAGAATGTTTATATTATAAAACAAATTAGGATGTGGAGCACTGGTTGTATACTTCACACCACACACTGGCAATTAAAATCTTTTTTTTTTATCTCATTCTATAGCAAAAGATTTTTAAATGAAATTATGTGATATGCACAATAATGTACTGAATTTAAAACTAAGTAATTTGTTTTTTCAAGAGAAATGTTATTAATAGAGCTTCAAATAGAGAAATGCAGTGATGTTGTATACAAGTCATTTCTTTCACTTCATAATCATTTCTTCCTATACCCATGTGGAACTGTAAACAACCTATACAGGATTTATATTACATGTTCCTATGGTAACTATTTCAGTACTGAAGAAAAAAGGATTCAAATATAAATATGAGTAGGACAGAAAACTTGTTTTGAGTCCATTTTATGCATCTGTTAATGTTTTGAAGACTATGCCATACAATTTATCATCTTAAATATTATGAAGTGAAAGAAAGACCGCTTCATCATTTTCTGGAATGGATAAACACAAGTTTACTGGAAGAATGTCAATATTTAAGGAAATAACTTGATTTAAAGAATTTATATCCAATTTTTAAAAGGTAGAAAAACTTTTAATCAATTGATTCTAGTCAATTGAGTCTGTATTTACTAGGTACACTCCAGGGCAAGGCAGTACTCCATGTGCTGGTGAAAATAGTTAAGTCCCCATCCTTAAAAAATCTACACATTATCAAGGGTATAAAAGAAGCCCGAAAATAACAACTAAAAAGGCCAATGGTATTGTAGCAGGAAAAACCGTGGGAAACGGATCTCCCAAACACAGAATACAGGAGGTAAGGGTTTATTACAGCTGGGAGCTGAGGCAATGATTTGTCCAAATTCAGCTCATCTAACAAAGGAAAGTTCTGCCTTTATATAGGCTTATACTTTAGATATTACACGTGGAAGAATATTAGGTTTATAGCTTTAGAAATCACATATGAAAAGGGTTTCAGTTTATAACTTCAGGAATCACATATGAAAGGGTTCCAGTTTACAGTTTTAGGACTCACATGTGAAAGGTCTCTGTTTACAATTTCAGGAATCACAAATGAAAGGGTTCTGGTTTACAGTTTTAGGACTCACATGTGAAAAGGTTTCTGGTTTGATCTTGTTTTAAGTAAAAGTAGTGACTTACAGAGAGTTTCCCCAAGACCAAGCGTGTTATTTTCAGGAAGGAGATTCAGGAGGCGCCAGCTGGCCTGCTCTCTATTCTATTGAGCTGCACAGTGGGTGACAGAGAGGGAGGGAATCCCAGATGCCTGGGTATCCTTCCTCAGTATTAATACTATGACAGAAGAACAGTCAAAATGCTCTGGCGTATATGACAAATACACTTGGCTAACTGTCTGACAGCTTGTTGGCAAAGTTGGAATCAATCCCAGCTTTCAGCTTTCCACCAGCTCAGCAACAATTAGTTCCCTCCATGCCCCAGGAAGCAAATATTCATTCCCCCATGTCAGTCATGGCATTAATTATTGGAACTCTGCTTCCCTTGCTGGCTGAAAAAAACCATAATACTATGTGAATACTATGTGATATGATTCAAGTTTGAAGGCCACCTTGCTAAAATAAGGTACAGCATCTAGGTTCTCTCTTCAGATCTGACTATGCAGCTGACATAATCCAGAGAGAACAAAGAAGCAAGAACAGGATGGTGCAGCAGCCCACCTGAGAGCCACATAAGGCAGAGGAGCCTTATAATAACAAGGGAGTGAGCTTGCTATCCACCTTGGGATACTATGCTCCATGCAACTGTGCAATCCACAGATTGGAAGGTGCCATTCAGGAATCTGTGCCACTGGGGCCTAGGGTCCGAACTCTGGAGTTGTGCAGATTCTCAGCCTCAGCTAGAATCTGCTTAAGCCTGATGAGTTCCAGTAGGCAGGGTGGACCAGCACCATAACTGCAGCTACCTACTGCCTAAGCAGTTTGAACTCCTTGAGGGAGGGGCAGCAGCAAGCACTGAGACTCATAGCTGCCGAATACACTAAGTTCCTTGGGTGCAGGAAAGGCAGCATCCAACTCTATAACTCCAGGCTGTGCTGTTTCCCAGCTGCAGCCAGGAAGGCTGGGTGACTTGGTCCCAAGAGATATGCCCCACAGTCCAGCTTGGCAGACTGCAGCGAGAGTGCCACTTCTGGCTTGACTCATCTTTCCTCAATGGGTGGACCTTCCCAGAGGAGTTTCAACTCCAGCCAGAGGCTCAGTTATTGCAGATATCAGAACCCTAATCTCTTTGGCCTGAGCCACCAGAAGAAGGGTTGGTCACACTATCTGGAGACCAGCAGACTTAGCCTTTCCTCCTGATAGATATGAGGAATCTGGGCAGTCCAGATGAGTGATTTTCCCCCCAGCAAAGCATACCCTCTACACCAAGGGACAATAAAAGTGATTCATTAAATGGGTCCTATTTCCCATGCCACTCAGTTGTATGAGAGCCACCAACAGGGGTTGTCAAATCCTGATACAGGAGCTATTCTACTGGCATCAGATTGGTGCCCCATGAGGCCAGAGATCTCAGAAGAAGGAGCAGGCAGCCATCGTTGCTGTGCCCCAGACTCTTTGAGTAACATCTCCAGGAACAGGAGCAAACCAGATAAATAGGGCCCAAAGTGGACCCACAGAAAATCACAGCGTCCGTACAGAAGAGGGATCTGACCATTGAAAGAAAAACAAATAGAAAGCACAACAACAGCATCATCAATAGCAAAATGTTCCCCCAAAAATCCTATTCAAGTCTCAGCAGCCTCAAAGACTGAAACTAAACAAACCCATAAAGATGAAAAAGAATCAGTGAAAAAAACATGAAAATCGAGAAGGGCAGAGTGCCTCTTTTCCCCCGAATGATAGCAGTGCCTCTCCATCAAGGGCACAGAACTGGATGGGGGATGAGATGGATAAAATAACAGAAGGAGATTTCAGATGGTGGGTAATAAGAAAGTCCACTGAGCTAAAGAAGCATGTTCTAACTCAATGCAAAGAAGCTAAGAGCCTTGATTAAGGGTTCAAGGAGCTGTTAATTAGAATAACCAGTTTAGAGAGGAATATAAGTGACCTGATAGAGATGAAGAACACAGTACAAGAAGTTTGTGAAGCATGCATAAGTATCACAGCCAAATCAACCACACAGAAGAAAGGATATGAGTTTCAAAGCCACCTTGCTGAAATAAGTTGTGCAGATAAGATTAGGGAAAGAAGAATGAAAAAGAACAAACAAAGCCTCCAAAATAATGGGATTATGTAAAGAACCTGAACCTACGATTGATTGGAGTACCTGAAGGAAATGGGGAGAATGGAACCAAACTGGAAAACTCACTTCAGACATTATCCAGGAGAAATCTGCCAGTGTAGCAAAGTGGTCCAACATGCATTTTAAGGAAATATAAAGAACAACAAACACAAAGATACTCCATAAGAAGATCAACCTTTAGACAAATAATTCTCAGATTCTCCAAGCTTAAAATGAAGAAAAAAATGTTAAGGGAAGCCAGAGAGAGAGGCCAGGTCACCTACAAAGGAAAGCCCATCATGCTAACTGCAGGCATATCAGCAGAAACCTACAAACCAGTAGAGAATAAGGACCAATACTCAACATTCTTAAAGGAAAGAATTTCAGCCCAGAATTTCATATCCTGCCAAGGTAAGATTCCTAAGTGAAGGAGAAATAAAATCCTTTACAGAAAAGGAAATGCTGAGGAATTTTTGTCACCACCAACCATGCCTAGCAAGAGCTCCTAAAAGCAGCACTAAATAGGGAAAGGACTGAAATAGCAACTGCAAAAACACACTGATATGTAAAGACAAACGACATTATGAAGAAACTGCATCAACTTGTCTCCAAAATAACCAACTAGCATCGTGATGATAGGATCAAATTCACACATAGGATTATTAACCTTAAATGTACATAGGCTAAATGTTCCAATTAAAAGACACAGACTGGCAAATTGGATAAAGAGTCAAAGCGATCAGGGTGCTTTATTCAGCAGACAATCTTATACGCACAGAATAGGCTCAAAACAAGGTATGAGGGAAAATGTACCAAGCGAATGGAAAGCAAAAAAAAAAAAGAACAAAACAAAAAAAAAAAAAAAGCAGGGGTTGCAATCCTAATCTCTGAAAATATGAAAATACACACGTTAAACCCACAAAGATCAAAAAAGACAAAGAAGGCCATTACATCTTGGAAAAGAGCTCATTCCAACAACAGGAAGTAACTATCCTAAATATATATGTACCCAATGCAGGAGCACCCAGATTTATGAAACAAGTTCTTAGAATCCTAAAAAAAGACTTGGACTCCCACACAATAATAGTGGGAGACTTTAACATCCCACTGTCAATATGAGAGAGATCCATGAGACAGAAAACTAACAAGGATACTTGACTTGAACTCTGAATCTAATGTATCTACTAAATATCTACAGAATACTCCAGATCAACACAATATACATTCTTCTCGGTGCCATATGGCACTATTTCTAAAATTGACCATAGAGTTGGAAGTAAAACACTCCTCAGCAAATGCAAAATAACTGAAATAATAACAAACAGTCTCTCAGATCACAGTGCTCAAA